AAACTTAGGCATAGCAAATGTTTTGACTAATTGAATTTTACCAATTAATGTTAAATTTGATCACCTGGTTTAACATACTTTTCAGCTCAACTCTCTTATTACCATGGATTTGACCACTCTTTGACTTAAGATTTTCGCCCCCAGAACTTACTTTTTGTGAAATTTATTTAAAATAAAGCTCGGATATAACGCGCGCTGTCATTGGTTGAAAGAGCGTGCTCTATTAGAGTACAATACATAGAGCTGAGCTTTCACGCCATTTGCCAAGTTGTATTATGTCCGACCTTTTCCGGGACTCCTCTCTAGCTTTTTTTATTGTCAGTTGAAAGGGAAATTTCGAAACAAGCGAGACGGCAAGTAGCAACAGAAGAACCGAACAAAGATTTGTAAACATGCCAAGTGCCGTAATTTACCTTATTATAACGTGAGCAGAGACGAAAATCCTCATAGATCCTCATAGAGATAACGAATTACACCATCCGAGTTTTGACGGTTTTCACGCTCAGTTAGATTGCAAGGTTACGAACGTACTTGAGAAGTGGGGAGAAACTCGACTACGTCTTGTGTGTCTCCCTACGGAGCTCCGTACGTCTTGTCTACCTCCCTACAATTATCTCGTGCTCTAGCCGCTCTTCATGTGCTTTGCAACGGAACAGCATAGTCCTATTAGGAGACCAGTCGTTTTTTCTTATCTCCTGGGTGGAGTGGGTGAAAGATATGAGAGGGATCACATGATTATCAGGGGGAACAGAGCGGGGATCAGTCGTCGCCAACAGATTACAAAGGAGAACTATGAAAATTGAACTTCAATTACCTGCTAATGAGGGGAAATTAAAAGAATATTGTAGAGCCTTAGGGGGATCAGGCAAATTTTACCGTCACACAACTAAAATCCTCCGGCCCCTCCTATAAGCGAATAAATAATGACCGATCCCTGGGGGATGTATCGTGTACAAGCTGCATGGACGAATATCTACCACTAATAAATATTTGCAATGCGGTGACATGTATACTCTTCAATGAGCTAACTAGGAAGAGCTTTAGAGCGCGAGATATTACAGCGTGACTAGTGGCAGCTCGAGTCCTCTCAGCGGGAACTCATCAGATTTTTCCTTGTCACGCGCAGACGAGAGAAGTTGTTTTACCTCTGTCAAATCCTGCTTTATGTTGCTGTACTGGATTTAGGAATTTCTTTCGTTTGACCGAGGCCCTGCCGTGGGGTTTATGCGAGCTGGCCCAAGTTTTTGAATTAAATTAGCATTTCACAACAGAAAACCTGCATAATTTATGCAAGTTTTTCCCGCGCTTCCCATGTCTCATGGGATAGCGTGCTTCCGGGTTAGTTTTACTGTTGCCATCCATGATCTCAAGACCTCATTTTGGCGATGTTATCGAATTTTCAAGAGGAACACGCGATCAAGTGAATTGCTTTATACCTCCAGATAAGGTGAGAGGGATCGCTGAACAATCTCTATAAATTGTGACATACTTTATATGGCCACCTATTCGGCTCGCTCGCTTTTGTACGAGGTATCGGCTAAGCGAATAGGCGTAGGAGCATTTAGTGTACAAGAGTTTAAAATAAAAGAAGGTACTTGAGGATAAATCCATCCAGCATCGTAAAGAGTGATATTAAAATTTCAACAGCATGTAGTTTGATGCCTTGGTTGGAAACTTCCATCACAGACCCTATACCAAGGGTTATGAGATAAGCGAGGAGGCTTGAACGAGCGCTTTACAAAATGTAGGACGAAATTAGTTGGATCCGAACATTTTTTATGTTCCAAATGAGGCAATGATCCAAGACATGCCTTTGTTTGTACATAGGCTAGCCTAACTAATCTTGCGCCATATTTAGAAAGCTGATATTTTATTTAACACTGCTCTTGTTGTGAAATGGAAAACCCCAAGGTGATCGATATATCAGTAACAAATACGTTTTTTTGATAGTTTGGAATGGCGCTCGTATACGAAATTGCCGATCAGTAATATGTGTTGTATACTGCTTTATGTGAAAATAGGTGAATATCAGCGACCTATTTAGGTTGAAAAATCGGTAGGGGTTTTATTTTGTGGTTTGGCTTACTTTTCTGATTTTAGGATCGAATTTTTGTGCTTCAAAGTGAGTGAATTTTCTGCTGGGAACAAATTGTAATAATTACAATTTCTTTTCAAGTAGCAGGCTTAACATTGACAAGGAAGCTACATATAGCTGGAAACAGCACACTCTTGCATCCTATACCTCAGCCTATTGACACACCAGAAAACATATTTAGTTAAACCGGGTTTAACTGAAAGAAAATCAGAAACAGGCCCGCACGGTATCTCATATGGGCCAGAATTTTTTCCAGGCTTTATTTCAACTACTAATTCAGTAGTATTCATAACTGCCAGGATCACTTCTATATTCGTTTCTTCAACCGCAGTGCTCATATATGATTTTCATATATTTACAGTCATTGTAAAAATACATTTGTCGCATTTTGAGTTAATGAAATTTTTCTGTGGGAACCAATACATATGGATCAAGGGCAATCATACAATTCTGAAATCATTTGTAAACTTTTTACAGAACATTATCTGAATAAAGCAAGCTGCCGTCATGAAGATAACCTTTTTGACTGAGGAATGGACTCAATCGACCAAAGGCAGTTGTTCCACCTTCATGAGACAGATGGCCATAGAACTCTCTAGACTAGAAAATGTAGAAATTGGTATTTTAATTCCAAGTGCCAGTCCAAATGATAAAGTAGATGCTGAAAAATATAACATCAAGGTTTTTGAACCTGAAAACTATCCAGGCTTTGACCTAGTTGATTGTCTGCAGTTTCCTCCACAAGGATTTAGCACTGACTTTATCATTGGTCATGGCATTAAGCCTGGATGTCATGGACAGGTCCTTAAGAATAAACTTAGCTGTAAATGGGTGCATGTGGTCCTGAGAAATGCAGAAGAAATAGCAGTGTTCAAGGAAACCCCAGATGCCATTCCTGAAGGGCAGAAACAGCATGAAACTGAGGTCAAATTGTGTAAAAATGCTGATGTAGTTTTAACAGTTGGCTCTAAACTCAATGAGACCTTCAAACCTGCTCTGCATCAGTGTAAGAAAGATCATATATTCAATCTTATACCTGGCATTTTTGATGAGTTTTTTGGTGAGCAGAAGCAATACCGAAATCCAAAGAACTTTGAAATCTTAGTGTTTGGCAAAGGGAACACCGAAGACTTTAAACTTGAAGGTCTTCATGTTGCTGCCGAAGCTGTGGCACATCTTAATAAGTACGAGCCATCATACAATCTCAAAGTTGTTGGTGCCCCTGAGGGAGAACAAAAAAAACTGGCTAAGAAGTTGAAAGGTCTTGGGATCTCTCTTAATCATCTGATTGTGAGAAGTTTTTACAAAGAAAGAGGACAACTGGCTCAGCTATTTTCAGAAGTGGATCTTGTTTTGATGCCTTCAGGTACAGAGGCATTTGGTCTCACAGCTTTGGAGGCATTGTCAGCATGTGTACCAATCCTTATTACCCATAATTCTGGCTTGGCAGAGGCTCTAAAGGAAGTACCTTTTGGGCGTGGATGCATAGTACATCAAGAAGCTGACTGGGCTGAAAAAATCAAACAAGCAAGAAAAAATCTGAAAACTGGATTAGAAGAGGCAAGCATGCTACGCGACAAATATAAAGAGAAATACTGTTGGCGGGACCAATGTGCTGCTTTTGTGAAGAAGCTTAGGGCCTTGCATTCAGGTTGAAATATTAATTTTGTACTCCTTTATTTGAAATAATTCAGATTAAGTATCAAGTAGCCGATTGGCACAAATCTGCTATCATTTTGAAATAGGCACCATGACTTGAATTAGTATAAGAGTAGCATTAAAAAGTACATAGAAATTAGTGGCTGTTTTGTATCTGTGAAATTTAGATCATTGCTGATTTCAGTACAATGTGTATGTTTTAGTGCAAAGATGTTTGATTTTTGTGTGCTCAAAGGCACCAATCCTTAAAAATGGACATAGAAATTACACCAGATAACAATTAAGCTTGCCACAAAAAAAATATCCAACAAGTATTAATCACAGTTACTTACAAGGCTTAAGACAATTACAGGTTTCACCTCTTTAGTTCCATTGTAATGATATGAGTTGAAATACACCTGCAATAGCATGTTTTACTCATGTGAGGATTATGTACTTTATGTAAATGAATTACAGTCTGATACTTTGATAATAGCAGAGCTCACAGAGCATAGCCCCATAATTATACAAAACAGTAGTAACCCATCAAGCCAAAAAAATTGGGTGTACAACCATACAAGGTGCTACTTTTAACATGCCTGGTCAACTGTACTGCAAGCACACCAACACCACGGCTTTGTCCAGTAGTCCAATGGTCAGTGCACTAGGCTCCGAGTTGGACGACCCAGGTTATAGTCCTGGCCAGGGCAAGGCCTTGTGCTCTTGAGATGTGCAGGAAAAAAAAAAGCAAGCTCCGCTTTTAGGCTTGGTTAAATCTATATATTAGTTGTCTTTGTGTAATTTGTGCTTTTCCTTTGTGACACCTAACAGGACATGCTGAGGAAATGCAACAGGAGTCCCAATACAAAAGGCATTCAGCTCAAAAGCGAGTGGCTGGTAATTACTCACTTGTCTATTTTTAAACATGCCCTAGTGTTATCAACAAACTGCATCCTTTTTATATTAAGCAGGCATAAAACATTTCAATGAAATCAATATACCAATATTTTTTTTGGACTTTTTTGAATATCAAGAAACACAATTCCCGGAAAACATAATGTCATAGGTATGATATTTTCAATGTGAATGCCCTTAAATAGGGGTATTTCCATTTTCTGAGAGACCCTGCTGAAAATCCAGACCAGAGCCTGGTTTGAATTTGTTTGCATGAGTCTCACACTCAATGTGAAAGAGTTCAGAGAGCTCAGCATGTAGAAGCCTTATTGACCTTAATGACAACATAATAACTTCCAGGTGATTTTTACTTCCACCCTTGATAAAATTTTTGATACGAAAAGCTACCAGAGAAGAAAAATTCTGTCCTTCAACTAATTGTAAAAAGTGGGTTCCAGGAAGTATTTAGCAACTTTTTCATTTAAAAATATTTAAAATTTGAATTTGTATTAATAACATACCCAACTGATTTTGGTCAACTCAGGAGCAGAAAATTTGAATTTTTTTTTTCCAACCCTCCATTAGTTGCTGATGTAAAGAAGGAGGAGAGAGATAATGAAGATGGCCACAAAGCAAAGAAGAGGCAAGAAATTTTTGTTTGGATCCTATGTCACCCTAAATTTGTGGTTTAGGGGGTGATATTATAAGGAGAAATTAAGTGCTAGATTAATTAAGTAACTCTTAGAAATCCCATGGTTAGCATTTTGTTCTGTTTCTGACGGTGTGAGGATTATTTTATCTGCATTAATTTCTTTACTCTGAAGTTCAAATGCATTATTTAGTTCTCTATCAATTCTTCAAGAAAGGCTAAGCATCTTTTACATGAAAATTTTGCCCTTGCACAATGACTTAAGTTAGCTCCCACTGTTGGCTAAGATAACATTGTTGTTTTGAGCTCTCAATAAAAGTCCAAGAAGTTATAAGTGACAAGAGACTTTACTAGCCACTAATCTCTTACAAAAAAATACAAATTCCTTAGGATCAAAATGGAGGAGTAATTATTCACTTCATGTGGATTTTTTTGGTTTAAAATGCTTTATTTTTATGCAAGATTCAGTATGCTTTAAGAGTTCTTGTTAGCTGTGTTAATTTATTTTGTTCATCACTGTGGACATTTATCCATCATCACAATGCATTGACCTCCATGATAGCACAAAGAAAAAATACATACTAGTTAAAAGGTAAGAGCCATATCTTGTGGGAACATGGTTCTCCATATAATACAATGACATGTTGCATTTTCAGCAAAGAAATTGCAATACAAGACTCCAAGAAAATTTCACCTGTTGGAAAAAAGATGGCAGAAAAAATGAGTGATCAGAAAGCTGGTGAGACACATTCTCTTTACTGTTCTAATGTTTATACACCTTTATATCATGCATTATATCAAAAACATGTGCTACTGCATGATCTAATAGCTTCCAAATATAAGATATTCAATTAAAGTTGTTGACACTTTACAAACTTGCAGTCTACCCATCAGAAGAAGACAGGATCGTGATTGAAATTGGTTCATCAGAGGATGAGGATGAAAGGTCTGATGATGAACCATGTGCCTCTGGACAAAATGTGGCTGGTTAGTAGAATGCCTATTTTTATTGTTACAATAAATAGTACTAATTATATATTACCCTTCCCACCCCCTGAGCTTTCTACACAGAGCCATTTGCAACCCATGGATAGGTTAGTGGCTGGGCTGCATGCATGAATTATTCTTGAACAGTATAGTGCTTGGAGGCCTTCTTAACTTCAACAGCACTGGCAATATTTGAACATATTTATCTCAGAAGCAATTGGGTAGTTATAGTAAGGTTGCATCAATCTGAAACAAGCATGTTTCTTTTAATTGTGAAAGTTTATACAATGAACAATAAGATGTTAGTAGTTATATATAAGTTTGGACTATAAAGTTTTAAACAAGAATCAACATTATAACAAATTATAATTATATGGATAGTTACCATGCCAATGGAGAATACAAATGACTTTAAGGTCACCTGACTTAACTGTGCGAGTATTTCAGTTTTATCCTGTTAACCCTTCAACTCCCATGAGAGACCAAGACAGAACTTCTCCTCTCAATTAACATCCATACAATATCAAGTAGACAAGGGATGAGAATAAAGAGAAATATAAATTAGGGGATTATTAGTTGATCCAATAACAATACCCAGGGGCTGCCACTGCAGCCAGCCTGGTCCCCTAAGTAGAATACCACTTATAATATTGACTAGAGCTGTGAAAGAAACAGTGAAGAAGGGTGGGATGGGGGAAGGCTTTGTTCCACATGAGCCTGAACTTGTGAAAATACATTGCCTCTGACCAGAAGAGCCTGCTGTTTTACTGCCTGACAGTTACTGGGTAAATTTTATTTCAATAGATCAAAATGAATCACTTATTGTCTAAGCTTACTATGCCAGGACCCATATTTTAGCCTGAAGAACAGGTGTCTAAATTCTTTTGCCTTTTTCAGTAGAATTGAGGCAAGCATGAGGCAAGCACAAATTCAAAGGGAGGAGTTATTATTTGCACTCCTACCCATGCATGATCTGCACTTGCCTAGCACTTATCTCCTTTGCCTGAAAAGCGCAACAAATTATGCCAGTTCTGTAGGCTAAATCTCTTCAACTTAAGTTCTTTAGACAAACCAGTTAGCAAGAGGAAATGCATTTAACTCAAAGAAATATAACATTTTTAGCCTAACCTTTTCACCTCTCTTACTTACATACTAGCTTCTGGTTATACTGAAGTTAAGCAAGAGGAAAAAGATGGCTCAGCTGCCAAAAAACCTAAACTTGATACTGTTGAAGAACCTGGAACTTCTGGAGTATCCAGCTCTCATGAGACAAGGAAGTTTAAGGGTAAGGGCATAGGGAAAATTACATTTTCAGTTTATTAATTATGCAATAGCATGATATTTTAAGGATTGATCAAGTAAAATTTCTTTGGAGACTTGAAGAACCTTCAATCTCTCTCACAATAGTTTTTTTGGTGATAAATTGTTAAGGACTCACAATAAGTTATACCTCTCAATAGCTGTCAAAACATAAATCAACTCTGATCAGTTTGATTCAACATATATAACTGATAATATGAGGAATGTGAATGTGGATATGTATTTGTATACTTACCAGTATAAGATTGACCAGTCTCCCCTTACAGGGCTCATCTCAGGACCAATGTGAACAATCTGGTCTCAAAAATTGTAAATAACCTTACTTGCATAGCCTCATCAACCAGAAGAAAAGCAAAAAGGCCAATCAGGATTGTGATTTACCCAGGGGTTAGCACCAACCCTTAATTGCTGATGTGATGATTAATTTATTTTGTAAAAAAAAGGAAAATTAGGATCAAGACATTCATAAATCAGTTTGAATTAACTGAATTAATTCTTTCTATGATTATGGTTTAAATTCTCCTGTGGAGAAATTACTCAAGAGTAATCATTTGTGGTTTTTACTAAGCAGGGTTTTAAGTTGCAATTTTTTTGGTTGCCATGGCAATCGGCATATTTGGTCATCGGTTATCTTATGTTTGCTGGTCATGCATGGCATGACACTAGCCAGCTGTAACATTCTTTAAAAGAGAGATAAACGATTTTGCATAGTACAATCCTTTTTGAAGTACTAGGTTTACAATTGCTACATAGTACTATTCCCTCAAAGACATAAGTGGCATGGTCTGTCACATTTGTTGTTCAACAAAACTTCTAATAGTAGAGTGAGTTTAACAATGTTGTGTAGCAAGTGACATGCTGCTCTAGGCTGCCAGCAGTTACATCACTGGAGCAGACCTGGTGTCCAGTGGTCTAGCAGTGAATGGCATTGCACATGACACGCCACATGGTCAGCACTAGTTGGGAAAACTAGGATCTAAGAGGAACACTAGGATCACTAAAAGGAAAACTAGGATCAAGACATTCATAAATCAGTTTAAATTGGCTGAACTAAGCTTTTCTGCTTCCTTTTTTTATTGACAGTGTTGCATATGGCAGTTATTGTATAGAAATAAATACAATTAATCACACAAGAAAACTAATTAAGATATGTCTGGATGCAGTTTATTAGACTGCAATCTGGCACTTTATCATGAGGGTCTCAGGTGCATAGCTAGCATTCACTCTAATATAGGCTTGTAGGGATGATGTGAATATGGGCATGAATAAAACACCTGTTTGGAGACTGAGGAATTGCAGCTTCAAAGAAATATTTTGCTCACTTAATTTGGTGCCTCAGGGGACTCCTGTTTGAGGGATCTGTGTTTCAGCCCTGGGTAGGTCTTTAAAGGTTAATCCCTTAAACCCTGAGAGTGACCAGCATCTAATTTCTCCTTACAGTAATATGGCTGAATCATTCATTAAGGTCATGAGAATAAAAGAAATAATCACCACCCAAAGAAGCTTTGATTGTGAGACAAATTCTCCTTGTCAGTACCAGAGGAAATGTCTAGAGAAGAGTATGGAGAATGTGGATACTGATGTTAGGGTGTCAAGGGTTAAATGTTCTTTATTGAGACTGACTTTACTCTCACCCAGTGCCTCTCTCCACCCAGGAGTATAAATGGGTACTGATGAACTGTCCGAAAACCTGATCAATGTTGAAGGGAGGGGAGGGAGGTGATTAGTTGTAATGGATGTGCATCTCTCCACAAGATGTAGTCACACATGCTTGCTCCATGGAAGCCAGGGTAAACTGCTGCAGTATTGGCCCTCACTGTAAAAGGCATTTTAGAAAATATGTCATGGGTTGAAATGCTTAAACATGTCTCCCTGCTGTATTTACCATAAATAGAATGCACCTTTCATTTATTTTGAATAAATTTTTTTCTGTGGTAGTGAGAAAAGGCAATCCTGAACTTGATGAATTAGAACAACTGGCCAATGACATTGATCCTAGTGTGTGGAAGAAAGTTGCAAGAAAGTTAAAGATTGACAATCCAGTGATCACAGCAATAGATAAGGAAAATGAGGAATTTTATGAAAAGAAATACACAATGCTGCAAGAATGGAAGCAGGCAAATGGAAGTGCTGCTACGTGGAGGGAACTTAATCAGGCTCTAATGGATGCTAATCTCAGGGAGTTAGCAGAGAAGCACTGCTGTGCAAAGATGAATTGAAAGGGACTATTTGTCAGGAACGGTTTTCTATCAAACACTGTGCATAAGATATTTCTTTGCTAAAAATTGTCACACTTTGGTAAAAAGTTTGCTCCAGCACTTAAAATGCATTTTTTAAGTTAGCCAGGTGATAACCAATGGGATCGGTCCTTCCTGAACTGCACAACTTTTTATTGAAACAGGTGTTTGTGATTTTTATAATTATGAAACCAGGAAATGCTCATTTTGGCATTTGGAAAAGATAGAGCTTGATGCTACCTTTAAAAGCCTTCCTTTTCTTAATTGTGTATTATACTTCTTTATAATTTTTTCCAAATTTTTTTACATTTAACCTTCTTCATATGCTTGGTAGATAGTACATAAGTCTGACTTGTAATTATCTGAAAAAAAATTATTCTCTATTTTTATCCATGTATTTACCAATCTACTATAAAAGTTATTATTTTGCACAGTTAGTTTAATTAGCTTTTGTTTGATTAATTAGCCTGTTGCATTTTATTTTCATTGCAACAATCTATAGGCACGATATTCTGGCGCGCACTGCGCATCGGTTCATGTCAAAGATTGGCTAAGCTTTCCATAGAACCAAATGTATGCATTGGAAGAGATCCGATCGAAAGAGTCAAATATACCAAAATACTTGGAATCTCTTACGTGGAGCAAGCATGTTTAAGAAATAACTAAAAAGATTACAGCAGGAATTAGTGCTTTACAACGGCTCAGACATTTTGCAAATCGAGATATACTTGTTTCAGTTTATAATGTACTAATTATGCCTCATTTTGATTATTGTTGTGAGGTTTAGTATTCTTTAGGAAGTGCACTGGCCAAAAGGTTGCAGAAACTCCATAACAGATGTGCTAGGGTAATTATGCCTCGCAAAAACGAGGCTGGACAGTCTGAATTAGCCCTATGTCATCTTGGCTGGAGTTTACTAAGGGAACTAATTGAATTCAAATTAAGGCTAGATAAATGTGTAAGGTTCTCCATGATTTGGTACCTGCGAGGCTTTCGAATATTTTCAGGGACTCATGCTCGGCTAAGAATTATCATTTAAGGGACGCTAAGAATTGGTTGGCCGTTCCGTTGCCCAAGACTAAATTTTTAAAGAAGAGTTTCAGCTATAATGGTGCTAAGATCTGGAATTCCTTACCAAATGAAGTATGTAATTGTGAAACTTTGGCTACGTTTGATAAGCTTATGCATTAATTTATTTTTATAAAATAATTCAAATAGAACGCGCGCTCTGATTGGTCATGAAACCATTTTACATGAGCGTATGTAAACACGGTTTTCATACTGAATCTTCTCGCGGAGTTCTCCCTGCTATTTATTTAGCAGTAACTCAGTTTCTTTAAGTTTGTTTTGAGTACAGTAATGGATGAAGAAGATTTTCCTAATTTTTCTTTGGAGTTTAATTTTCCCAGTATTCAAGAAACGGCCGAAAAGCCAAATGAACAATAACAACAAGCACGTCGCTTTCCTTCGTTGTAAGAAGAGGCTCTTTCATTAATTATTTTATAAGAGAAATGTAAAATGGTTTCGCTTATCCCGTGTTCTCCCAACCTCCCGCGTGTTTACATCAGGCTATGTAAACACGGAAACCATTTTACCTTTCTTCAATATTTAATGCATTAATAGTTTAAGTCATGGATATTATTGTGTATATATATATATATATATATATATCTATATATATATATATATATATATATATATATATATTTATATGTATATATTTATGTAAATGTATGTATTTTTTTCTTATATATATTTTAAGTAGGTTTTTACTTTTATACTTAGTTTACACCCCTACTGGAAACCAGTTTTTTATAACGTTGATGATAGGCTAGCGTGTCTAAAAAAAGTTGATCTCTTTCTCTCTCTGGCGCACGGTTCGCATATTCGTATGACAACAGCCTTTAAACAAAAGTTCTTAAGGGAAGCTTATGAGAAAGACGAAAACTTGGTTTCAACGACAAGACAAATAGACAAGTCCCACTCATGCAAGGCTCGATGCCGCACCCCCCTCCATTGGGAACGGATGACGGTCAAATTTGGCCAGGGGGATGTTGAAGCTTCGAATCGATCGTTACATAACATCCTCAACAGAGTACTGTGTAAATTGACGTGTAGGAGCTTTAGCGCTAATTTTTCAACTTGTTTCAAGCTTGTTCTTCAAGAAAGTTCAATTTTTGTTTCAAAATTTGCAAGTCATGTAATTAAAGTCACATGGACGGATAAAAATATTGTAGGCGCTGATCTACTGGTTACGCCTCAGAAACCTTGTAATTCATCTCTACTAAGTTACTTGCAAGTTCCCCCTTCCCGCAAACAATTTCGCTTGAAATTTGTGACCATTTTTTAACTAAAGGCAACACTGAAATGTGGCTGAGGGGGAGAAAGTGAAAGGTATTAGAAAAATTCGAAAACTAGTAGAGCATGTCAAGACTATTGCCACTCGTTGTAGTTTAGCTAAATATATGTAGTTGTAGCTCTATGTCTGGTGTCTTTTTATCTGCTAAAATAGAGTTGTTACTTATAGATCTTTATTATTTCTGCCTCTGATCAAACAACAAAACTAACTGATAACTCGGAGGTACTCAGCGACACACTTATCATACATTAATGCTGTAGTACACCAGTGCACGTTTTTCCAATTTCAAATCCAACCAACCAGATTCGACAGCAACCAACATTACTTTTATTGCAAGTTTTAGATCCCTCATGGCACCGTTTGTATTCTCCTCTCTCTCAAAAGCAAAACTTCAGGGAACTAAAACACAGTCAGTAAAAGCGTATCATGCAGGAGACGTAACTCCTTGACTCAAATCAGTTTTCTGCTACCAAATTTACGCGCTAGAAGTGTTCCTTTGATGTATAGATCTCACTTAAGAGAAATTTGTCTTTTAAATTTGAATAGAATTTCTTCGACTTATAAATAAAAGTTCATTATCTCATTCGTTTACGAATCAAACATTTCCCTTCCGTGGTTGCAATACAATATAAAACTAAAAATGAGAAAAATTTATCATCAAGCGTGATCTACGGTTTGTTGTTAGTGTGGAAAGCAAGATACAGCTCTTGAACAATTCTAGGGTTTTTAGGTAACGTTGAGGAACGGGTGAACGTGGAAAAGCTAGTAGGCCTGGGAACCACAGTGTGTTGTACTTGTTACCATTTCCCTTTCCTTTTTTTCGCCCCATGTAAGGTAATCCGGATTCCGGAATCCAGGAAATTTTTGCTTGTGGAATCCGGAATACTGGGCTCTGGAATCCAGAATCCAGCTTTTGGAATCCAGGATCCCGCTAAAAAGGGAATCCAGAATCCACTTGCTGAAAATCCATTTCAAATCGTATTAGCGGCTTTCACCCGCATCCATGCAACCACTGTGGAGTGCAGTTCACTCACGTTATCAATCGGTGCTCAAAGTGAGCTTTCAAATCCCACAGGATTTGCTTGGAACATCAATATGGCCGCTATTTGATTGTTTTGGAACACCTCTAAATAATGATATGGCCGCTAGGACGTCCTGTGAGATTAACTTACCTTGTAAAAGATACGCTTTAGTTTTGCTTTTAATCGAGGAATTTGTAAATTTCTGTGAAAATAATCTAACTGTTGACAACTTGGATGCTTTGCTTTTGCCCGCTTTCCCCGCCGGTTTTTTAAGCAAATTCGGTGCACAGCAAGCCTTGGAACCGGAAACTGCGCTACTTTTATCTGGCATCCAGGGTAGAGGTATCGACCTTAATACTTAATACTTAATACTCTTTTCATTTTCGACTCTTTCGAACTTTCTGGCACTTCTGACTCGCGACTGACCAAAATCA